GATTTTTATTTCATCTATGCAAACAAGGAAAGGATTAGTTGAGCATTTGAAAGAGCTCGAAAGTTCGGCGAACATGATAGAATTTATGATCCTAACACTAGGCAGAGATGAAATCTACATTCTTTTTTACAGCAAAACTGTGAAAGAAGAGAAGTCTGTCCTTGGTACCACTATCCTTCTTTCTTTCTGTTACTGCTTTTCTTCTTCCTAGAACTCCTTCCCCCCAGACCTGAAAAGCCTCATGCTGCCTTCTCTTCTTCATTCAATTTTAGCTCTTCCAAGTGTCTCAGGGTCCTTTCTGCTTATAAACTAATCTCTACAACATTCAGTGCATGTTACTGAGTTTTAAACTGCCAGGCAAAAATGTTTGCTTGAACTTTGAATTGATGCCTTCTGGAAACAATATCTTAATTCCAAAGAGTGGCTAAGAGCAGAAATTTTCAGATAATGTAATGGGCCAAGAGGGATAATATTTGGAGGCCAAAAATCCATTGGATGATCTTCCAATCACACCTAGTGGCAGCTGATGTCCTTGTTTATATGTATGTGACCATGATAAAGAAAATGGATTTCAAGAAAGCAGTTTTCAACAATCTAGGAGCACAGACAAGTATGGTTTAAGATATGGAAATATAATAAAGGTGACTGCCAGTTAAATGACTGGTCTGTGACCACAAGAATAAATTAAGCCAACACATCAGAAGGAAAGGGAAGGGAACTGACTGCCAAGTTAACTAAATTCAGAACCAAATCAAGACTTGAAAGGAAATTAAGCCGAGCTTCTAAAGAATACAAAAAATAGTACCATAGTACCATTGTATGGGGCCAAAAGAACTGAAGGAAGAGCTTGAAAGATGTAGTTTACAAGGTACAGAATAGGTAATAAAGAAAAAAGCACTGTTAATTATGGGATTTTAAAGAAAATGTCATCTACCTGATAGGAGGGAAAAACTGATAACAAAAATGCCAAAAAATAAAGGTACTTTCATGTCTTTTTCATCTATGTCCTCATTTAAAAAACAATAAGAGATGAAGAGGTAACTGGAAAGTGTCATCTGTTAGAAGAGGAAGAACAAACATGAATAAGAAAAGACGATATGGATGTCTTCCAATTATTGAGGCTTAGCAACATGCCAACTAGATACTTATGCACTACTGGATAAGTTTTGAGAATTCATAGAAGACAGAAGTCCTTGGAAAGTGGCACCAAAAATGGATCACCCATCTAAAAAAATTAGGAAAAAAGAAAGCCGTGGTGAAGATCTGTCAACTTACGTTTAGTATCTGAGAGGACAGGTGGGCAAATCAACAAATAATCAATTTGCAATCACCAGCAACACAAAGGGCAGAGCAAGAATGGATATATCTTTGAGAGAATTATTTTCCTCTATGATGAAGTGACAAACTGGACAGAGGAGAAGAAACAAATGGATGTAATTTATCTTGATTTCAGTAAGGCTTTTCATTCTTCACTTTAGGGTATTCTCATTATAGTGAAGAAAAAGAAGAAGAAGAAGAAGAAGAAGAAGAAGAAGAAGAAGAAGAAGAAGAAGAAGAAGAAGAAGAAGAAGAAGAAGAAGAAGAAGAAGAAGAAAAAGAAGAGGAGGAGGAGAACAAGAAGAATAAGAATACTGGATTTACAATAATGGCACTTGGTTCTGATTGAAGCTCTGCTATTTGTTACCTGTGCTCTTAGCTAAGTCACTGAATTCTACCCACAGTTTTCTCACTTATAGTGTGAGGGGAGTTGGAATAGATGACCTTGAAGATTTCTTTGTTCTCAATCTATGATCTTAAAGCATAGAAATTTGGTCAGGATCAGTAAACTTTTTAGAATTTAGAAATCCAATTCCAAATGATTGGCACATAGGCAATGGATAGAGTTCTGAGGCCAGAGTCAGGAAGACTTGAGTTCAAATCTAGCCTTCTACACTTATCAGTTGTGTGACCCTGGGCAAGTCACCTAACCTCCATCTGCCTCAGTTGTGTCAACTGTGAAGTGAAGATAATAATTAAACCTACCTCTCAAGGTTGTTGTGAGGATTAAATGAAATAATATTTGTAAAGTGCTTAGCACAATGTTAACTAATAAATTCTTATTTCTTTTCTTCCTCCCAAATAATCAATTGAATGATTTATAGACGTCCTACATGTATTATATAGTATACATTTATATTTAAATGAAAATTGGTTTGGTTTTGAAAGTAATAATAAGGGTATGTGACTATATGCAGGAATTTTCAAACCCAATACTACCACTCAGCATTGAAGAGCCTATAAAAAGTTGCCCACAGAGGTAGTTATCTATAATTTGTACTCAACTCAAGGACATACATCTGATAAAATACCACAAGGGTCAGTCCAAAGGATATTACTTAAAATTCTTACCGAATGCTCAGACGGCAGAATAAAAAATGCAGATGACATTAGGCTGGGGAAGTTTTATAACATTATAGAAGGGATGTGCAGAATTTAAACGGAAATAGAGTCTCCCAAGAACAAATTAAATAGATGCAAGATGGGGGCAGATGAACAAGAATCACATGAAGCAGACAAACACTGGGGGATGTGAGGGATCAAACATATATGTGCAACCATGCACCTAGTAGCAGCTCCCCAGATGATAACATGCTGTTCCCATAGTGACATAAACGGCTTTTGAAGTACTGGGTTGTTGTTGTGGTGATGGTGGAGGAGGTGGAGGTGGAGGTGGTGGAGGTGGTAATGGCAATATTGGCAGCAGTGATTGTTGTTGGGTAGGGGGTTAGGGATGATGTAACAGTGATACATTACATTATGGTACATTATACTATTGTGTTATTTTATATTAGTTATCAATCACTGAAAAAAACCAGCTTTTCCAAGCCTCAATTTCCTTATTGGAATTTTACAAAATGCTCATAGCTTTCTAGCAGGAAGAGAATTGAAAGGTCAGCTAGGTGGGATAGTAAATAGAGCTCTAGCCCTAGAGTCAGGAAGACCTGAGTTAAAATCTGGCCTCAGAAACTTGTAAATTGTGTGACCTTGGGCAAGTCACTTAACTTCTGTCTCCCTCAAATACCAGATAGGTATAACAATAGCACTTACCTCATGGGGTTTTTGTGAGGATCAAATGGGATATTATTTAATAAATACATGTGTTTTTCCTCCTTCCCTTACTCCTCTCTTTAATGTTACATATTAGAAAGGTTACATATATTGATTAACATAGATCTGGACCTCTATATACTCATAATAGACTCACAAGTTATACGTTGGTATGCATATATACAAAAAGCATAGTTCCTAACATACTAAGTGCTTAACAGATGTTGTTTTCATTCATTCATTCAAACACATAATCTTTTTTTCTTTCTTTTTTTGTGAGGCAACTGGGATTGAGTGACTTGCCCAGGGTCACGCAGCTAGTAAGCGTCAAGTGTTTGGTCTGAGGCTGGATTTGAATTCAGGTCCTCCTGACTCTAGAGCCGGCGCTCTACCCATTGCGCCACCCAGCTGCCTTATCAAACACATAGTCTTAAAATATTAAGATGATATAGAAATTAGTGGATTCAAGGGTTGGATGACAGTCAGTGAGAATAATGGGCTATAGAGAAATCATGGTTAAGAAAGAGGACAAGTTGCCTGAAAAGTTTCTATGACATATCTAAATAATGGTCAAGCCCTGCCATTTTTACCTTGGTAAGACCTCTTGTATATGCCCCCTTCTCTCTTATGACAGAGCAAAGACATGGGGACAAAGACCCTTCATCATCTCATGCCTGGACTATTGCAAGAGCCTGCTGGTTGGTCTGCCTACTTCAAGTATCCCTCTCTATTCTAATTCATCCTCCACTCAGATATCAAATTGATCTACCTACAACACAGGTCAGATTATATCATCCCAATAGTCAATGAATTCTAGCAACTGTCTCTTACTTCCAGTATCAAATATAAAATCCACTGTTCAGCTTTTCCGTATTTCTTAACCCAGATCCTCCTAATTTTCCAGTTTCTTAACTCTTATTCCCCTCCAAATACTCTACACCTAATGATACTGGCCTCCTGGCCATTCCACATACACAACACTCTGTCTCTTAACTAACTGTTTTCATTGCCTGTCCCTCATGCCCAGAGCCATCTCCCTCCTCATCTCTACCTCTTGGCTTCTCTGACTTCCTTCAAATCTCAGCTAAAGTCCTAAATTCTATAACCTTTTCCCAGTCTCCCTTATTCTTATTCTGAGACTACCCCTAACTAATTTTACATATATACATATATATATATATATATATATATATATATACACACACACACATACATATATACATGTATATATATATACACTTTTGTATACATACACATACATATATACATACACACATAAATATACATATATACACATATATATCATGACTATCCCTAATCTAATCACATATATATATAACCATACATATATATACACACATAAATGTATTGTATGCATTTTGTGCATATGTATAGTATGTGCATGAAAAAATATACAAAATATACGTATATAGTATGTATATAAAATATATTTATATATAAAACATACATCTTGTTTGTACATAGTTATCTGCATGTTTTCTAACTATGTTTCTTCTTTGTGCAGTACCTAGCACATCATAGACACTTAATAAATGTGAGCTGTCTAATGTACCTTTAAAAATGTCATTTTGAAAAAAAAATATATAGTAAACTACCTAATTCACATTGGAAAAGAAAAGAGTTATGCCACTTTTAACTGACACTTCCTAATACTGCATCCTCACTCACTCGCTCTCTCTCTCTCTCACACACACACACATACACACACATATATGTATACATACACATATACACAGAGATATGTACACACACACACACACACACACACACACACACACACACACACACACACACACACGACATGAAGGCAGAAAATAAAGGGTCAGGGAAAAAAGAGCAGGAAGCAAATAAATGCCTATTAGCATTAAACAGACCAAAGGAAGAAAAACTACCTTTTGACCACATCTCCTCCGTTCCAGCAGGGCAGTCCATCAGCAGCAGCTAATTCATTAACACAAAGCTGATCAGCCAGGCCACCATAAAAAGTCTTGTATAGACGCAGGCTGTTGATAAATTCTCTGAACAGAAAAACAAAGAAAACAATTAACACCAAAAATCTATAACGATGGCCCATAAAAATGCTGTGCATTGTTATATACATTACCTAGAATGTAACTTTATTGCAACTTCATCTAATCATGCTTGTGCTTATTAAACAGGTTTTCAATATTCTTTCTCAACATATGTAGCTGTCCTGTTTCTTTTTCTGCTTCAGTGCTGTGAGTTTAAATTCATTCTAATGTTTCAGCACAATGAACTTTTTCACTGTGTAAAGAGAGACTTTAAATTTCTCTAAAATCTAAACGACATTTCTTTAGGGACCATTTGGCTTCTTGAATTTCATTAGGTTTTTGTCAAAATACCCTTCATTTACTGCAGCTATCAGGAGTAATGCTGATGCCCTAGACCTTCCATACAGAAGAGCCCATCATTATTCAGACACTTAGGGGTGTCTAAGCATTCTTAACTGAGCTCTCCCTTGAGACACACACATCGAATTTTCCTTTGTATAATATGAACCTAAAAAGAACCTTCTTGAAGAGGGAAAATAATAATTAGACTGTCAACAAATAAGAACCAGTTCTACTTTCTGACAAAATTAATTAACTGATATGGCTACCTGATTACTAGCTGATTGTTAGGCTAAAATGAAATTAAAAAAAAAACTTTCAGTAATTGGTCAATTCAGGCAAAATGGTGCAACATGTTTGCGCATTCAGACAGAGCTTCTGTTTTCTGTGTAATGATGTAGTAAAATTAAAAAATATTATTCAGGTCATGCAAATATCTAAACTGGGGTGGGGAACCTGCACCCTCAAGGCCACATGTGTCCTTCTGGGTCCTCAGGTGTGGCCTTTTGACTGAGTTCAAGTTTTACAGAACAAATCCTTTTGTTAAGGGGATTTGTTCTGTGAAGTTTGAATTCAGTCACTTGAGGGCCACATGTAGCCTCAAGGCCACAGGTTCTCCACCCTTAATCTAGATTCTTAGGGGAGTGACTGGATCAGCAAAATTCCATCAGAGTTATTAGTACATTACTGAGTACAATCAGATGCTTATTTAATTCTTTTTTTTTTTTTACAAAACTAGACCTTGTTAATTGCTCCCTGGTAGCTATCCAAAAGCAAATAGGTCTATATGACTAGACAAGAATTTGCAGCAACTAGATATTATTTGGCAGTAAACATATATGAATAAGAAAAGATTTGTTTAGAATCATGTGACTTGAATCTTGAAGGAAGCTAAAGATTCTAAGAGTAAAAGGGTAGGAGTGTATCCAGACACAGGACACACTTAATCTGAGCTAAGATAAAAGTATATCAACTAGAGATGAGGTAACTGATACATCAGGACATTTACTCAAAACTTAGACAAAAACATATTCAAGTTCCATTAAGTGAGGCAAAATTAGTGTGACTGATAAGTTACAATACTAAACCAAACTGAAATACAACCATAGCTATTGATTATTAGGAAACAACAGCAACAGATACCTACCTGGTGTGTAGCAGAGATAGGGGAGCTTTGCATGAAAGTACCAATGACCCTAAGAGGGAGCACATTTGTCAACAATTCAAGAAAAGAGGTATTATATTTGCAAACTAAAAGGAATCACCAAGCATTGAAAGTAATAACAATAACAATAATAATGATAATAGCTAATATCTATATACCATTTACTATGTGTCTGACATTATGCTAAATTCTTTATAATTATTAACCTATTTGATCCTCACAACAACCCAGAGAGGTAGATGCTATTATTATAGATACCATTTCATAGATGAGGAAACTGAGGCAAAGAGAGGTTAAGTGACTTGCCCAAGGTAACACAGCTAGTAAGTGTCTGAGGCTGGATTTAAACTAAGGTCTCTCTGACTCCAGGCCCAGCACTCTATCTACCATGCCACCCAGCTGCCTAAAGTACCATTACACATTAAGCCTTTAGTACTATCTGCACACATGGGAAATGCTCATTAATTAATATTTCATGTATAATGTAACTGATACGTCATAGAGTAACATCAGGAAAGATTCTTGTTGATCATAATATCACAGGATCACAGATTCAGAGCTCAAAGTGACTACAGTTAATTGAATCTGACTCCTTATTTGATAGAGAAGGAAACTGAGCCCCAAAGAGGTTGTTAGGGTAAGACTCACCTAGATCACAAAGGTACTAAGTAGAAGAATCAAGATTTGTACCCAGGTCTTTCAGACTCTAAATCTAGTGTTCTTATCATAGTGCCATAGTGCCTTCCAATACATTAGTCTGAGCTTCTTATGTTTGTGAGTTGAGGAAACAAAGGCACATTGAATGACAACACTATATAATGTCTTATAAATTTACACACACACACATATGTGTATGTATGGATATGGATATGTGTATTTATATTCACCTTCTCTATTAGCTCATTTCCTACTGCCTACAAACGTGCCCATGTTTTTCCTACTTTGAAAAAACCCTCACTTGTTCCTTTCATCCCTACCAGTTACAGTCCTATATCCCTTCTGGCTTTCTAGGTTTTGGGGGTACCACTCTCTTCCAGTTTTCCTCCTACCTATCTGACCATTGCTTCTCTGCCTCTTTTGCTAGATCCTTCTCCAGATCATTCCCTCCAATTATGTGTTCCTCAGGGTCCTGTTCTGGGCCCATTTCCTCTTCTCTTTCTATATCACCTCATTTTGGTGACCTCATCGGCTTTCATGGATTTAATTGTCAACTTTATGTTGATGGTTCACAAATCCCTCTCTCTCCTGCCTCAGTCTCTTTGCTGACCTATCTTGCATCTGAGATGCCTTTCAGACATCAAAAATTTTCAGAAATTTCATCTTGGATTTCTCAATATCTCTCACCCCTATTTCCAAGCTGCTGCCAAGACTTGTGGGTTTCATCTTTGCAATATCTCTTGAATATGCCCCATTCCCTTTGACATAACCATCACTCTGGTGCAGAGCCTCATTACCTCACACCTTGATTATTACAATAGCCTGGTGGGGCTGTCTGCCTCAAGTCTCTTCCCACTCCAAACCAGTCTCCGTTTAGCCATGAAAGTGATTTTCCTAAAGTGCAGGTCCAATCTTGTCACACACACACATACACACCCTCCCCCACTCAATAAACACCAGTGGATTCCTATTGCCTCCAGGAACAAATACAAAATGCTCTGTTTGGCATTCAGAGCCCTCCATAACCTAGTATCCTCCTAGCTTTTTAGTCTTCTTATGTCTTATTCCCCATACTCACTCTTTAATCCAGTGACATCAATCCCCTGGCTGTTCCATGAACAAGACACTCTACCTCTAGGCTCCAAGTATTTTCTGTGGCTACTCCCATGCCTCACATACCTCTTCCTCCTTTGTTCAACCTACTGACTTCTCTGTAAATAGCTTATACATACATACATACACACATACATACATACATACGTACATACATACACACACACATACATATATGTTTTTTGTGTCCCCCATGATAACACAATCCTTGGCACATAGTGGACACTTAATAAATGTTCATTGATTAATTGATATTCAGCTACCCTATATGAGCAGGGATTAGTCTCATTTTACAGCTAAGGAATTGAGATACAAAAGTTAAGTAACTTGCCTAAGGTCACAACTAGTTTGAATTCAAATTGAGACTGGAACTTAGGTCTAATTACATTTGAATATAAAAGAGTTAAGTCAACCTTTCAAATTTAGTAGAATGATAGGTTTAATAATGAACAACCTACATATATTGGTTTTGCCTGCCATAAGCTACATTTAGGTTCCACTAAATCCAGTCAGTTTCTAGTTCTGTGTCTACCATTCCAGAAAGTATCCTCTGAAGAAGTAATGTGTGTATATGGGGGCTGGGGGTAGCATAGATATGTATGTATCCCTGGTTACTTAACAGGACTAGATTCTGTGCGCATGAAAAGTGTGAAAGAAATAGACAGCAGCGAAACTGCTCATGCACAGGTTGTCAGCCCTTGTTTCCCTGGAGCTCACTGAAAGCAAAGGAGATACTGGACCAGCATAGTGATCACTTCATCATTTCCATTGTACATAAGCTAGGTGGAATGAAAAAGAACGGTCCACTGCTGAAAATATGTGATAACCAGATAAGAAGGCACACTTCTCAATGTGCATTCCTGGTTCTGCCGGCCACAAAATAACAACCCAGTTAAAATTAGCAAAGAGAGAAAAGAAAGACTATATACATTCATTAAAAAAAATTCTCACAACAATTAATGCAATTTATTTAATAACAATAATAATAACTAGCATTTATATAGCTCCTACTAGGTTCCAGAAACCATGCTAAGTGCTTTACAAATATTATCTCATTTTATTTTTACAACAATCCTGAGAGATAGGTGTTATTATTATCCCTGTTTTTACAGTTCAGTCAACTGAGGCAGATCTGAGTTGTGACTTATACAAAGTCACATAACTAGTAAGTATTGAAGCAGGATTTGAACTCAGATGTTTCTGACTAGTATAGCACTCTATCCACTCTACACCCTAGCTAACTATGTTTTTCATTCATTTATCTGCTAGTGGTGGTATGGAGAGAGGGGTGGAGAGAAGGGAGCACCTGTGATTTCATCAGTGTGGAAACTCCGTTCACAGATGCAGATTGAAAATTATTCTGTAATATGGGCCCATTGATAATACTTCTAGGGATGGGAAGGAGGACCTAGCCCTCCACCCTACTTTTACAGATAAAGAAACTGAAGCCCAGAACTTTAAGTGACTTGCCCAATGTCACACAGGTTAGGGTCAGATTTTTCACTTTGGTCTAATGATTCCCAGTTCAATAGCTTTTTACTGCACCGTGTTGCTTCCTTAGTCCTGAGACACTGGGGAGTTAAATGACATACAAATGGCAGCTAGTGTGTGTCAGAGGTAAGATTTTAACATAGGTCTTTTAGACTTGGAGGAAAACTCTCTATCCACAATATCACACTCTCTGGTGTGCATAGCAGATGCTTCATAAATGCCTGGTGAATTAATGAGGCAC